GTTCATCGTTGTGGGAATAAATCTCCTTACATTCCATGCCTGACACACACACACACACACACACACACACACACACACACACACTTTAACGTCAAGTTGATGGAATGCTGAAGGGACTGTGTGCCTGGCACCACGTGGTGCAAACAATGGGCTTTGGACATGTGAAGTTGATGTCATTTCCATCTCACTTCGAATCCCTGAGCTATGCTCCATTTATCATCCACACGTGACAGGTGAGGAAACTGAGGCTCAGAGAAGTGAGGTGGCAGTGCCTCAAGTCAGAGACAATATGAACCTGGGGCGTGGGACCCCAAAACTTTGATAAGCCCTGGGGTCACCCAACTTGAGTTCCTTCCCAGCTGGGCATCTCTGCTGCTGAGGCCAGCAAGGGTGCCCCAGCATCCCCCCAAGCTCTGGCTTCCCTCTGCCCCCTCGGTCCTGGCTGTGCCCCCTCCGCTGCCCCAGGCCCTCTCTCCTCCCTGCCTTAGGTTTGGAGCGGCCTGATGAAGACCCGGAGACCAGGATTCCAGGCAAGACTCTGCCAATGGCCCCGAGTTTATTTTGGACCCAGGTCTCACAAAGTGGCCCTTACTAATCGGGTGACTTTACTTGAGTGTTGGGGAAGGTACCGATGACAGGCTGCGTCCATCGCTAAGGAGTCTCCCCACCCCCACCCCCGGAGGGCGGGTCTCGGGCTGGGCCGAGGGGCGGGGTCTCCCAGCCCACTTGGGGGGGGGACAGGCGGGGGACAGGCGGGAGCCACACTCGCAGACCAGACCTTGAGGAGCCCTGGCGCCCAGCGAAGCGGTGAGAAACGGGGCTGGGAACTGGGAGGAACCAGCGGGTGAGGGAGGCTCCTGCCCCAGGCCACCGGCCTAGGAGGGTTCCCCAATGGCCCTTCGCAGAGAGGGGACGAGCAGGGTGGCCAGATTTCGCACCTCTCTCAGGGGTCAGTGTGTGGTGAGCAAGGACAGCGGCAGGACCCAGGAAGCGTGAAGCGGGGAGTGGGCATCTCCTGAGCCCCTGCGACTGAGCCCCTACCGTGCCCCAGACCAGATGAGGCACCAACCGGACTCCTGCAATCCCCGCCCTCCTTGCCGCTGTGGCCTGGGACAGGAGGACGCAGATGCAATTTAAAAGCAGGGAAAGTGACAATCAATTGGTGCTTTTCAGAGTCAGAAAAAGGGGGGCCCTCAAGTTCTGCGCTGGGGGGCGTTTGATTTCCATGTTACAGACTTTCTCTGGAAGAGAAGAAAGGGTATGAATTGTCCCTGGTAGTGGCTCCAGACTCCCAGAAAGCATGAGGCCAGCTGGCAGGACTGTTTTCTGAGACCCATTTGTGCATGGCCAGGACTGGGGCAGAGACCCTGGAGGCTCTTCTCCCTCTGCAGAGCCCCCAACTTGCCAGGAGTGACTCCCGAATCCCCATGATTAGGGTGTGCACATCTTAGTACCCTGCGGGCTGTGGCGGATCTGCCCCCAGTTCTGGTGGCTGAAGTGACTGAACCCTGATCTTGAAGGAGGTGCTGCTGAGATAGAGGGAGGCAAGTCCAGATTCCAGGAAGGGGGTGGGGGATGGACAAAGGTCTGGAGAAAGGATGCACTTTGGGGAGCAAGGTGAAAGGGGGCCGTGAGGGGATGCCTTGAATGTCAAACTGGGAACCCCAGAGAACACAGGTTCTGAGCTCCCTGCTTCCCCCTGCAGGACCCCTGAGCTGATCCTACCCCTTTCTGGCCAGTGGAAGGCTCCTGCCCTCCCCAGCTCACCAGGGCTACCGTTCCCAGCTTCCTTCCTGAGAGGACTCCTGGAGACCATCCCTTTGTGTGCAAGCAAATGTCATCCCTAGTGGATGGGCCACAGGGGTGGGCTCCATTCCCACTGGTTGGCTTCCAGCCCAGTGGGGTCTGGGAACCAAACAAAGGGTGCCCTGACCTGCAAGAGCCAGGGAGTGGCGAGGCAGGGTGCAAAGCTAATTTCATCTGTGTGTGTTTTCCTTTCTCAGTCCACATTGGCCAGGTCTGTGATCCCAACTGTCCCTCATCTTTTCCTACTGGAATCAGAATGGCCCTCTGGTGTTACTGCCTCTTCTGTCTTCTGGTATCTGAGCTTCTGTGGGGAGGAGAGTTTGGGGGAGGAGGTCAAAAGGGACGCAAAGCTGTAGGGTTTCACACCATGAAGTCACTATAAAGGTTACACAGGGGCTGGGGTTGTGACTCAGCGGTACAGCACTCACCTAGCATGTGAGAGGCCCTGGGTTCGATCCTCAGCACCACATAAAAATAAATAAATAAAATAAAGGCATTGTGTCCAACTATACTAAACAAATAAATATTTTTTTAAAAAAAGTTTCACAAGATAAGCCCCTGGCACAGAAATAAAATAAAAGCACCCAGTAGGACTGGTGTTGTGGCTCAGTGGTAGAGCACTTGCCTAGCATGTGCGAGGCAATCCCCAAACACACACACACACACACACACACACACACACACACACACACACTAGGTGGCATGCCTCTCACATTCAATCAGCTTGTTTATGCCTGGTAAGGGGGAAAGGCTCAGGGCAGTGAAGTGCCCTGCCCAAGACCAGCAGCACAGCCTGCAACTTCCACTGCTCCCCCTGAAGCACACAGTAGGGATTCAATAATTGCACACAGGCAGTGGGGTGGCTGTTCCAGCTCCCACCTGTCTTCTCTCTCAGATCAGGAGTCTCTCTGGGACCTGTTCTAACTCCCCAGGTGAAACAAGGCGCCCTTGGGTGGCAGGTTGGTAAGAGAGATCACCCCCTGAAGCCCCTCCCCCAGGAACTGCCCGTGATCCCAGTGGCACTTGCCTGGAACTCCAAGGAAGGGAGGAGAGGGTATTTAGTTCAGACCCCAGTACCAAGAACTGGGCGGAATGCTTCACTCCTGACCATCTCATTCCCGTTGTGCAGATTTGGAGAGCCACTGCAGGGGAAGGACACAGGTCATAGAGCATGGCCTGGGGCCAGGGAAGCCCCATCTGATAGGCCAGCAAGACTCCTGCCCCAGTGTCCTTCACCCTACCCATCCCCCAGAGTGTGAGATGCCCACAAAATGCTCTCTCTAGTCCCCTCTGTCCGCTCCCCTTCCAGCTTCGCAGGCCCCTGGTGAGATGGTGGAGATTTCAGATGGGGTGTGCAAGTTTCCAAAGCAGCGGCTGAGCTGGTGGCAAGCCCAAGAGTCTTGTGAGCAGCGGTTTGGCCACCTGCCAATGGGGCCCCCAGATGGGGTTCTTGCTTCGCGGCTTCGTGACCCAGTCTGGTTGGGCCAAAGAGAAATCTCCCTGCGGAGTCCCCCACGGAGGAGTGAGTGTGGACCCAGGGCCCGGGGGAGGGGAAGAGAGCTTTGGTGACATTGAGAGATAGGAGCTCACGGTGACTTTTGAAATGAACTTGGAGCAACATCTCCATATTTCCTCGCTGTGGACTGAAGTAGCGGTTGACCCAGGCTGGGGAGTTAGAAGCCCCGTTTCTTTCTTCCAGCGGCAGGGATGCACCCCAGATCTCATGAAGGGCCCCGCAGCTGGGGGATGCAGGACCCTGTGGGCAGCTGGGAAATTGAGGTCGCGGCCCTCATGTCCCCCCTCTCAAGGCGAGCGCACCACCGCGGCGCTGGTGTTCGGCGAGAAGACGGCGGACAGGGCGGCGCGGCTGCGGACGCCCCTGCCAGCTCTGGAGGCGCTGACGGCGTGCGCGCACTTGCAGTGGGACAGCAGCTCGCCCGAAGTGGCCGCGATCTTCTCCCTCGCCGCCCCCGCGCTGGCCAACGCGCTGCAGCTGCGGGCCTTCGCCGAGCCGGGCGGCGCGGTGCGGGCGGCGCTGGTGGTACGCGGGCACCACGCTCCCTTTCTCGCAGCCTTTCGCGCCGACGGCCGCTGGCACCACGTGTGCGCGACATGGGAGCAGCGCGGGGGTCGCTGGGCGCTGTTTGCTGACGGGCGGCGGCGCGCCACGGCGCGAGGACTGGGCGCGGACCACCCGGTGCCGCCCGGTGGCATCCTGGTGCTGGGCCAGGATCAGGACTCCCCGGGCGGCGGCTTCTCGGCGCGCGACGCCTTCAGCGGCAACCTCACCGACTTCCACCTGTGGGCCCGGGTGCTGAGCCCCGCGCAGCTGCACCGCGCACGCGCCTGCGACCCGCCTCCCGACGGCCTGCTCTTCGTCTGGGACCCTGGCTCCCTGGACATCACACCCTCACTGCTGCCGCCCGTTCCGACGCGCCTTCCCTGCCCGGGTGCGCACCGCTGCCCCGGCTGCCAGGCCCCGCCCTTTCTGCTGGCTCAACCCCCTGCCACCTGGCTGGTTCTGGGCCCGCCCCCTAACTCAGAGACCCCTGCCCTTCTGATTGCGTGATCCAGCTCACCCTCTGCCAACCCCGCCCTGGCTCAACTCTGGCCACTCCCTTATGCACCCGTGGGCATCCGCAGAGTCCCAGTAGCCAGATTGTGTGGGTTCACCTGGCGTCTCACGTCTCCCCCTAACCCCAGAGCAGTGCATCCTGACTCCAGGTCAGGTGTGCAGGCATCTTCGAGGCCGGCACCTGTGGGTGGTCACAGATTATAGGAAGCTAGGATATGGTTTTGACACCTCCCCTACTCTGGCCAGTGCCCTCAGAAGAGTGCCCCACGTGGAACCCAGAACCCCCCACCGAGGGCTCGGAGCTCTGCTTGCAGCCGCTGCTCTTCCTCTGCTGCTACCAGAAAGGTGCGCCCTAGCTATGCCCCTGGGCTCTCATGAAGCTAGTGGGAACAGGAGGAGCTAGTGACCAGAAGAGTGTGGGATTCTTTGAGTTTCAGGGCCTCCTCTTAGTCTAGACTACAGGGCAGCGGGATCAAACAGACCTGGGGGTGAATCCCAGTTGTGCGACCTTAGGCAAAAGATTTTTGCCATTCTGTGCCTCAGTTTCCCTACCTGGCACACAGTGTGTGAGGCTTCAGACACACAGCTGTGGATCTCCTCTTCCCCCGCCCCTGGGTGGGGGTTATTGAGCAGCTGGCACCTCTGGGCAGGGGAGTTGCCCAGGGCCCAGCCTGGCATCTGCCTGTTTGCAGAGACCTATCAGCAGCTGCAGGATGTCCGGTTGTGGCCAGGACAGGATGTTATCAGCAAAGTCAATGCTTTGGCCAAGGCCATTGTGGTGAGCTTCTCCTAAGAAGGTTGGAGAGCCTGTGGGCACTATGGGTCACCTCACACTTCAATTGCCTCACCTGTAAGGGGACACCCACTGTTCCTCAGAATTAAGGCTCCTCACGCTCCCTATTTTATAGCCTTGAAAAAAAAAAGCTGAAAACTTATGACAAGTTAGAACTGCACCCTCCAAAAAGACCCTGGAAAAGCCCAAGTGTGGCCCCTAGGGGATCCCTTGTGACAGCCAGACAGGCAATAACTGGCTTCTCTAACCACAGCTCCTCCCAGACCCCCTCTCTGAAGCCCCTGAGGCCCTGACCCTGGACAAGGCCTCCAGGTTCCTGGGCCTTCTGGACAGAGTCCTGGTGGAGGAGACCACTCCACTGGGGCCGGCTGCACTGCTGGCTGTCCTGCACTTCCTGAAGAGGGTGACAGCCCTTGGGGCTGGGGAGCCAGAGCCCTTGACAGGGCCCTGGGAACAGCTGGGCAGGGGCGTCGTGTCTGTGGCCAGCCGGATCCTGGAGAAGCAGATGGCTGGAGCGTGGCTGTCCCTCAGTGAGGTGAGGCTGCAGGGCTGGCCAGGGGCCTGGGCTCTGGTTCTGCCCTTGCTAGCAGGTTGTTGTGTAGTCTTAGGCTCAAGTGGGCACCCAGTTTTAGGCTCCATCTCCCCAACCCTTGGGAGAAGCTCCTCTTTTTCATCTACTATATAAGCTGAACTTCCACTTGAAGGACAGTGTCTGTATTTTAAAATCATTAAGAGCCACTAGTCAATAAGGGCCTTCCCCATATCCAAGAATCTGCTTACCGCCACAAGTGGCAGGTCCTCCGTGCTGAGTGGTCCGACCATCTTGTCTGCCGAAACAGCAAACACTCTGGAGAACAGGAAAGATGCCATCTGGTTGGAGAGGCGGATGGATACCTCATCCTGGCAAAAATGGCCATAGGCCTGGGAGTGACTGACCCAGAGAAGAGAGGAAGCCAGAGCTCATGGACATTGCCTGCCAATCTCTAGGGCTCAAGGAGCACATGTGGTCCCCCTGTGGCCTCAGAGGATGGAATTAGGACCAGGGTGTGGGGTTAGGGTGGAAATGGCATGACCCAGGAGGCTGGCTCCATAGAATGAGTCCCCTGGACCTATAATGAGCCCCCCATTCGGGGAAGCATTAAAGCCCACCTTGATTAGGGGTTGGAGGCACTGAGGTAGATGGAGAAGAGACGGAGGCTGGAAAATGGGGGTCCTCACTCCTGCCTTGCTCAGGCAGTGAAGAGGAGTTACTGGTGAACACGTGACTTGCCCACCTCCCTCTCCTGCTCTCTCCCCTCTCTGAGAAGAGCAGGGCCGCCTCTCAGAACACTGAGCCTGGTATCCCCAGGTCAGGGCTGGTGGCAGTGGGTGTGGGATGTGAGAAGGAATTGAGCTGTGGCTTCCTGCCAGGTGGTCGGTGGACCTATGGCCCTGGTGGCGAGCATGCAGCGCCTGGCACCCCTGCTGAGTACCGTGCTGACCTCTGAGCAGCCCCGAATGTCCATCCAGCACCATCATGCAGGTGAGCCTGCTGCCCACCCTCCCCCTGGGCTTAGAGGACCCTCCTCTGCCTGCTCCCTGGGAGCTCTCCTCCCTGACAGACACTGCGTTCTGTTTTCCTGCCTTTGCCCGAGCTGCAGCCTCCATCCAAAATGCCTTTTCTCCCAGAAAACTCCTATGCATTCTTCAGAACCCAGCTGGAGCATCAAGTGCTCTAGGAAGCCTTTCCTAGTTTGAGTTCCTCTGGATGGTTCCTCCCTCCTCTGTTTCCCCAGCATCTTGAACGTGTCTCTCCTTGCATTTGTGGTTATTATAAGATTGTCCCCTCTGCCTGATACCCCCTGAGTGTCAGGGCTGTTTCTGAGCCATCTCTGCCTCGGGCCCAGGTCCACAGTCTGAGTGTCAATCGAGTGGGGGCACACCTAGAGTGGACCTTCAGGCACCAACTTGTCCCCCAGGTACCCAGTGTCTTGTGGCGCTCACTGGTATTCAGGTCCCGTCTCCCAGGGAACTCCCCCTTCTCAGCGACCTCTCTCCTGGACTTGGAGAAATCCGATTTACCTGGGAAAAATGGCCGAGCCTCTCTGAGATGGAATGGTGGCAGGGCAGCTTGTCAGAAAGACCTCATTCCAATGGGGACAGCCACCAGCCCCGTTTGATCCTAGGCCTGGAGGTGCGGAGCCTACACCTGAGGGAGGCCAGCGCTGGGGGCTACGTATTCACAATGCCTGGGGGGCATCCAGAGGGGCCCGGCCACATCCACATTCCCGCAGGTGAAGTGAGGCGGCTCATCGGGAAAGGTGGGTGAGAGGAGGGGTGGCTGGGTCCTGCGGGGGTCCCCCCAGACCTCAGTTCTGATGTTGTCAGCCATGCTACTTGGAATGAGTTACCTCATCTGTGGTGACCCTATTAGCTGGGAGTGGTGGCGCAATGCCTGTAGTCCCAGCAGCTCAGGAGGCCAGCCTGGGACACTCAGCGAGACTTTGTCTCAAAATACAAAATAAAAAGGGCTGTGGTAAAGCACCCCTGGGTTCAATACCCAGTACCAAAAAGGAGCAGGA